CGCATGCCCGCCCCCTCTCGGCCGCCTTCAGAGGACGTCCCCGGATCTTCAGGCCCGAGCTGGACTGGCGGGGCCGGCACCGTTTCCCCAGACTCCCGCCGCGTTGCCTCCATCACCACCCCCAGGTCGCAGGTATCCTCCAGCGCCCGCTGTTCGCCGAGCGCTGCGCGCCGCGCCCTCCTGTCGACACCTACTAGTGTTCCTCGCACAACCCACGAGGGAGAGTTCTGCTGCTAGCCCCATTTTACAGATGGGAGATGGCGCCTTGGAGAGCTTTTCACTTGCTGTAGGTAACCACGGTTTGAACCTCGTGGTCTGACTTCACTGCCCCAGGGTCCCTGCAACTGGGACAGTGATTCGGCTTTGGCTCAGCGAGACTGGAGTGGACGTGGGGGCTGCAGTGTTTCGGAGAGCAGCAAGGGACCTTGGTAAATCAGGGGGTTACCTCCTCACCGAACCTGATTCTTAGTGCCTTTGGGCTGCTTTACACCCCAGGGCCCGACCGGCTGCCCTCCTCACCTTTCCACATCCATACAGCTCTGCTTTGGGGGGGGGAGAGTCCTGCGATACCTCTAACCCCATCCTCGCTCGTGTCCCTTTTCCTCCACCCCACCTGGAGTGGAGGAAAACACCGAGGGGCTTAAGCCGCCCCCTTTCTGACTGGCACAGGTTGCATTTCCTTGCCAGGTGGAGAGCACCAATCTCTGCAGCGACACGGGGCACACATGGGAGAGACCAGAACCACCGGCCAGCTCTGTTTAATGTGGTGTGGAGGGAATCACAGAGTGGCTGCCCCGTGGGGCTTGCCTGGGAGGAGGGTGAGCCTGAGTTGGCCTCTTGGCAGTGCCCCTGGCTCACGCTGCTTGGTTGTAAGCCTTTCTTGTCCTGGAAGATGGCCAGCTCCTCAGCTCAGCGCATTCCCCAAGGCCACCAGGGAGCGGAAGTGCCCAGGACATTGCTAACGGGGCGAGGTGGGGGCACCAGACACTCAGGTCTTATCCAGCCTGTAGGGAGTTCGGCGTGTGCCTCTGTTACTGGTCAGAACAAAGACAGCGAACGAGCTGGAGCAAGAACTCACCCCGGCGTCATCACTGAGTCCACCTGTGCCCTGGCAGTCATGGGGAATCGATCCCGGCAGCCTTTCGGAGCCAAGCAGCCACTACCAATCGATTGGAGTTGGCGCTGGAGGTGAAAGACATTTAGCGTCTTGGCATAGGGATGTTGCTTGCAGCTCTGGGGGAGCAGATTGAAGCATCCCTCCCTGGAACACAGGCCCCCCGCGAACCTGCAGCTCTTGTCCTGCAGAGCAGCACCAGCTGTGACATGCTGGTGCAGGCCGTGTGGCTGGGGTTTCTGGGTCCTCCAATCAGGAGAAGGTTTCACAAGTCGAACTGTTCCCTTCCGTCTCTTGAAGCACATCAGACTCTGGTCCTCCTGGGCCCCATCTTTTTATAGTGCCCTCATAGACAAGTACCACCCTCTCCCCACACTTGCTCATTCATGGTGGCAAGAGGGGCTGGCCAGACCTCTGCTGAAAGAGCATCAATGGGGACCAGCAGATGGTGAACTGGTTACATTGCTGAACTCCTACGTCATCAATGAGGGTTCAAATCCTGGACCCAGTGGCTTAACACTCACACCAGGCACTTGTGGGTACATGCCCAAAGTCCCAAGAGGAGACTGGAGGAGAAGGGATTGTGGCGTGCCCATTCCTCCCCGAGGGGTGATTTCTCGCTTTCTGTCTCTCTGGCGAGCACTTGCACCCTATAGCAAATATCTTTTAAATAAATAAATAAATAAAGAGGGTACTAGCAGCGTCATGGCTATATCACTGAACTCCCATGTAGCCAACCACGGTTCGAGTCCCACACCCGGTGGCTTAAATTCATGCTGTGCGTGTGTGCCCCAAGATCCCCGAGAGGAGAAGGGATTGCGGCATGGCCATACCCCGGGGGGTGATTTCTCGCTTTCTGTCTCTCTGTCTTTCTGGTGAGCGCACACGCCCTATAGCAAAAACCTCTCCAAAAAATAAAAATAAAAAGAGCATAAATGGGAGATTCAGATATCAAAATTAGCCCAAGCAAGGACTGCCTCCCTCTTGCGCCCACCCCACAGGGTTCCAGAGAGCTGCCTGCCCTTGAGCTGGTTTCCCCACTGCCTACAAAGGCGTAGGGTGGGCAGTGCGGTTCAGTAGGACTTAGGGCTGTGATCTGGCAGTCAGCCCACCTGCCAGGCCAAGGCAGTGGTCAGAAACAGAACAGGGGAGGGACCAGCAGTTGACATAATGGCTATGTCGCTGGACTCCCATGTAGTTGACTGCAGTTCGA